AGTGCTTTAGAAGGCCAAGGTGGGTGGATCACGAGGTCGGGAGTTTGAGACCAGCCTGGCCAATATGGTGAAACCCTGTCTCTACTAAAATAATAATAATAATACAGAAGGATTGACCAGGCCTGTGGTGTGCGCCTGTGGTCCCAGCTACTTAAGAGGCTGAGGCAGGAGAATCACTTGAACCTGGGAGGCCGAGGTTACAGTGAGCTGAGATCACACCACTGCACTCCAGTCTGGGCGACAGAGTGAGACTCCATCTCAAAAAAAAAAAAAAATGAATAGAGTGGGTATGTGTGTGTGTGTGTGTCTGTATATGTTTCTCAATAGTCTAGCTTTACTACCTCAAATACAGCTCACAGTTGCAGTATTTTCAGTTCAGACCATGACTGGCTTCTGATCTCAGATTTAGATATCCCACAAAAAGTGCTTCTGTTAATATTCCAGAAAAAAATGATGAATACAGAGGGATAGCTGGAGGTAAGTGAAAAGTTCCAGAAAACCATGTCTGATCCCATTAATCAAGCTCCCAACTTTCATCCCTCCCTCCTTTCTGCTGAGTTCCTTGGTCTACACTCAGAGTTGCAATTCTGACTCTGGCCACCAAGAACCATTACAACTATCTCCACGTTCCGCACTCTTTTTAAATGAAAAGGGATAAATTTTACAGAGTAAGTAATGTTATGAACCTTCTCTTCACTGTGATACCAGTAGTTTGGAATACCCATTTGTATATTAAAGCAGGCCAATTTGCTGTTGATTCTAAATCTTCAGCACATTCAGTGATTTATCTTTTCCTTCATTAGTGTTAGTTGAAGTGTCTGCACGGTGGAGGAGGGGGTCCCTCCTGGAGAGCAGGGTGTTCATCACCCATCTCTCTAACCCTGTACAGGCTTCTCAGACCTTCTCCCACTCCGTCCTACTGATCCCGTCTCCAGGACATGGACACAGCTGCCCAGACCCCACTCCAGTGCCCCATCCTCGCAGTCACTTCCTACTGTCCTGTGCTCCCCCAATCCTGCCTCCCAGCAACAGCCAAGGCACATTAGACCTACCTGGTGTTTTATCCTATGGATGCCCCACAGTATATTTGTACACTCTTGTTTTACACTTGTCAGGGTTGTTTTTTATCCAGACAGAATTAGAATCATTCTGCAGTTCGTTTCATAAACTGGGTTTTAGGGGAGGATAGCATATTTTTCTGCTCCTTGCTTATACTTTGTACAGAAGTGTGATAATGGTGGTACAGTGATGCCTCCTCGTGACAGAAGCCTGAACTGCAGCAGCTTGAACCTCACTGAGCAGGAAGGTGGCAGGGAGGTGCTGTGGCCCATGCACACACGACAGAATTTTCCAGAAGTGTGGGTAGAAAAGGGGTCATTCCCACTATGCAGGGATATTGACGGTCACCAGACAGAAAGTGTAGCCTCTTCCTGTGCTATGTGAAAGCACGAAATGATTATTTCTATGTTTATGCTTTTTTACCTCTGGATAAATAGCTACAGACCTATATAAGCAAAAATGCATCTTGGCCACTAAATGATCTTTGTGACCCACATTTGCCCTCATTATGATCATCTTTGCATAAAATGCATTTCTACAATAATGTTTTAAATTTCTTTGCCCGCCAAATATTAGTCTCTTTCTTTTTTTATCAACCAGATGATTCATCATGTGGGTGCCCCAAAATTCATTTAGTTAGTATTCTAGTCATGAAAATGTAGTTACTTTAACATTTTTTCCTGTTACAAACAATAGTATACTTAATATCTTTCTCATATATATGCAAATATCTTTGTAAGCATTTCTGTGAAAAAAAAAAAGTTTCTGTAAGTGTTCTTTCAAAACCCTGGAAACTGTAAAATTTTATATTGACATAATGAATTCCAAATACTATTGCTAACTTATATTCCTTATTTCACAGTATGTAAGGACCTTGTGTCTTCACACCTTAGAAATAATGTGAATCATTGCTAACCTTATGGGCAATAAATCACTTCTCATCATTGTCTTCATTAACACTTGCTTTGCTGAATTCTAGAATTCCATCCTATGGCTATGACATCAGTTTTCTCAAGCCTGTGTTATTCAGAGTGTTCTGACATTCCCTATTATTTACACTGTGTGGAAGACATCTTTTCAGAGTCTGTGCGTGGCTGAAGGGCACAGTTCTTGTACCTGTTTACACTGGTGAGCCAAATGTGTCCCCTGACAGCCCTACCAACTGTCTTGGAATAATTTTAGTATTGTAATAACAGAACCTGGTTGTTGTTCATATGTGTGTGTGTCATTTCTTCTGTTTGTGAATTTCCCTCTGCTTCCTTCTGCCCCATCACAATTTTGTGTCCCATTTGGTCTTTCTTTCTAAATTCAGGCCCAGAAATAAAGGAAGGGAATTTTCAGAATAATAGTCCTTATAACCAGATGCTTATCAGCATCCTTCACAATGTCCTGAAGTTAAACTTCTAAAAGGTAAATTGTTGGTGCAAAGGGTATGCACCTATGTAGCCGTTTGATAAGTATTGCCATAATGATACCCTGAGAGGTAATGCCATTTAGATTCCTCAGGTAGAGTCACAGAGAAAGTCCAAAGAGGAGTGAAAAAAAAAAAAACAATGCTGATGTCATGTTAGAGTGAAGGCCCTGGGCACTGTCATGGACTCACTCTCAAGTTTCTGCCACAGTTGGAAGATGTGGAAGTGATCAGGTGTAAACTGAATTTTTCACACAAGTGAAGCCTGAGTCAGCACGGTGGGTAGTGGCAATGGGGCAGGGAGAGACTGTCATTGTTTGGAGTTATGTAGGACACAGTCAGCAGGGCTAGGATACAGCTACAGTTTCATATACATTCATGGGTGTAGAAAACATGGCATCAAGGCCTTTGTATGAAAAAGTTTGGTCATTACTGAGGTATAACAGAAGCCCAGGCTTTCTTGCAATATAATTATAGACAAAATGTACATGTTTAAGGATACAACTTGATGATTTTCAGTAAACAAAAGTTATGCAACCATCATCATAGCTGAGTTTTAGATGTTTCCATCGCTCTAAAATGTCCCATCATACTCGAACGCAATTAATCCCTGCTTTCACCCCCAGTCCCAGGAACCACAGATATGCTTTGTGTTTCTGTTGATTTACCTATTCTTGACATCTCATAGAAATGGAATCATGCATCTGGCTTCTTTCACTTCACATGATGTTTTTAAGGTTTATCTATTTTGTAGCATGTTTCAATACTTTATTCCTTTGTATCGATATACCACATTTTGTTTATCCCCTCATCAACTGGTAAACACTTGAGTTGTTTCAGTTTTTGGCCATTATGAATTATGACACCACAAATATTTGTGTGCAAGTTTTTATGTAGACATAGGTTTCCATTTCTCTTGAGTATGTACCTGGGAGTAAAGTTGCTGGGCTATATGGTAGTTCTCTGCGTGACAATGTGAGGAACTCTCAGAATATTTTATTGACCCTGACAGTCTTGAGGAGTACAGCCTTAATCTGTTTTGTTTTTCTCATGATTAGACCAGCAGTATGGAATTTGAGAAAGAACACCACAGAGTTGATGTGCCCTTCTTATCACATCATATTTGGGTTTGCATGATGGCAACATGACCTTACTGGTGATGTTAACCTTGCACATAGTTAAAGTGTTTGCCAAGTTTTCCAGTGTATGATAACTTTTCAATTCACGTACTCTGTTCCTGAGAAGTGAGTCACTAAGTGTGACCTGCATTCAGGGGTTGCAGCAGAATTAAGCTTCACCTCTTGGAGGGTTAGTAGCTACAAATACTATTTGGAATCATTCCATAAAGACAGTTTGTCTTCTCGCACGCTTTTCCTTATTAATTCACCAAACATTTACTTGTATCAGTATGGATTTGTGCATACTTATTTGAAACTTGAAATATTTTACTTAATGGGCATATCCCAAAAGAATTCCAGCATCATTATTTCGGTGGTACAGTAAAAGAATTTTGACTTAACTCTCAGGAAACTGCAAAAGCGCTCCCTGTCACCCCAATTATATTTCACTACCACTATATTTTCTAATGGTCTATATTTGACAGTGATTTTAGACAATATATTTAACCATGGCAAAGTTTGAAACAGCAATGTAATTTCACATTATTCCCTTGCCTACTTGGTACCCCTTGAGAAAGAAATAACAAAAAGACAAGGCAATATTATTGAAGTAGCCATAAAAATCATTGCTGACATAAAGTAAGTCTATTTATGAACTCCCTGTCAATGAAGCAAAAGTATAACATATGTCAGGTAAAATGTGTGCTTCATTTGAAAGCGTATTGTCCACAGCTCAGCCTTCTGGTTATCTGACTCTGAAAGCTGTTCTACAACTCTACCTTTTAGGAAACTGACAGCATTGCATACAATCTTGTCTATAGACACAAGAAATGAATTCTGTTTTGGGGGAGGGAAAACTTTTCCTCCTGGGGAAATACGTATTTATCTCCATTTGAACATTTATTTCAACACTCTTGATCTATAAATGTGACAGAGGTGGCTGTAGACTTGGCAGAGTTCATTTCAGTGGATGAGTGAGGGAACTAAGCCCCATTAGATGAGAAATGAAGACTGAGGTGTAGGGAGGTGCAGAGGAATGCAAGTTGAGTATTGAGAATACTTCATAGAATATTGATTGCAAATGGGAGAATATATGTAAAGAGGACATTAAAGATGTAGAAATGGGTCCATGGCACTGAATTATGTTTTACAGTCATCAATGATAAGAGTCTCTATAATTAATCTGTTAGTGGGAAGGAGCCATCTCTTAGATCTGCCATCTGAATTTACCACACCCTCCTTTCCACACTTCACTTTCTTATTTCTATTCTGGGGAAGCTTAAAACTTAATGAAAGGGATTGTGTAGAGTTTGGCCTTAATGCCTATTAACTGTTAACTAAGGAATGACTGAATGGGTGAATACACAATGTGCCAAACATGTGCTGATAATTCACAAATTTTTATCTCCCAGCACAGTGCTTTTATGCAGATGACTGAACCCGTGGAGTTAGGCGGCTGAGAGGATACAGCCTCCCAGATCTCTACAACTGATGGCAGCAAGATGGGAGCACCCAGCTTCAGTGTTCAGAAGTAGATTTATGCAGACTTCCACATCTTACATGCAGGAGGGATCCCCCGTGACCTGAGCAGGTAAGGTCACAGACAGGCTGGTTTTCCAACATGGGGACAGGATTACAGCCTGCTCAGAAGTAAGTTGTGGTCCAGCTCTTGTGTCATTCAAAAAGACTCCAGAACATGCAGATCCAGCTCCTCTCTAAACTTGAACTCAACCAATATCCCAGAGAGACATTCTTAATCTTCTAGGCAAATTCACTGTCATTAGCAACCACCAGAGAACACACAAACACATACAAATTCACACGCCCGCGCACGTGTCCTAGAGCCTTAATGCGAGCAGTAGCCCTAGGAGAACCTGCAGGCTCTACTTGTTGCTTATTGTGTGTGTGAGGCTGCATATGTAACTGGACCCTTTTTGCATTAAAAAAATGGTGATAATAATGATTAACAGAGTATTTGTTTAATAGGGAATTATTTAAAAATTACCTTAGTATCCAGTTAAATGTGATGACGAGACAATTTCCACCTGTCATTTTATCAAAGTATTTAAAAAAAACATTGAGGATTTCAGTGAGGTGTGCATGTGGGGACATCTACTCTGCCTCATATTGGCAGAGAGAATTTCACTTAGTACAACCTCTTTCCAGACTGATTTGGCAGTATCTTTCAAATAGTCTATGCATCCCCAATCTGTATGTATTTGGAGCCTGTCCCTTCAAGTATTCATTCTTGTTGTGACACCTGTCCCTCTATTAGAGAGTGCATATTCCTCATGATGTAGGTTGTCTTGGGAACTCTTCCGTTTTCTTTTTCTTTTTTTTTAGACAGAGTTTCACTCTTGTTGCCCAGGCTGGAGGGCAATGGCACAATCTTGGCTCACTGCAACCTCTGCCTCCTGGGTTCAAGCGATTCACCTGCCTCAGCCTCCCAAGTATCTGGGATTACAGGCATGCACTACCACACCCAGCTAATTTTGTATTTTTAGTAGAGATGGGGTTTCTCCATGTTGATCAGGCTGGTCTTGAACTCCTGACCTCAGGTGATCTGCCTGCCTCTGCCTCCCAAAGCGCTAGGATTACAGGCGTGAGCCACCATACCTGGCCCGGGAACTCTACTTTCTACAGCACTGACTTAGAAACATTCCTTTGTCTTTACAGAGCAGGAAATTGATGTACAACAAGATTCTCTGATTAGAAAGAGAGGCAGAACTAGCAGCCTGGCTTCAGAGGTGAAGATACAGATTTCAGTAGTGATCTAGCTCAGCAGGAAAGCAAGATTTACTTGGTTATGGTGTGACATGCAGCTCAGCATCATACAGTCTGCATGGGGACTTACAGGGTTCTGGTCTTTTCTACTTATTGTACAATGCTCCCCAGCCAGACTACTTAATCTACAAACATCATTGCTTCTCCAGCTATAAAATCACATAGAGGTCATTACCTCTACCTCCTGGTAATGCTGTGGAAATACGTGAAATAAAAATGCACCAGCATTCAGGAAAGGTGAATCCCAATGACTCTCTTAGGACAGGCATCCTGCCCTTCTATGGGATTTTTAAGCTCCCATCACCCATATGGGTCTGCAACTTGCCTTTCTTCAGCAAAACAATATCTATCCAATATTTTGTTTTCATTAGCGAATGTGTTTTCAAACGTTTATTGGGCATGTATATTGCTCTTTACATGAATTCTCTGTTTATATCTGTATTAGCTATCTTGCATAACAAATTACCCCCAAATTTTGCTGCTTAAAGCAACAAACGTATTAATACACATCATTTCTGTGGGTCAGAAATTATGGCACAGTTTAGGTTCTGGCTCTGAGTCTCTCACAAGGCTGCAATCAAGGTTTAGGTAGGGGCTACAGCCATCTCAAGGCTCAACAAAGGGAAGATCCAATTCCAAACTCATTTATATGGCTGTTGGCAGGCCTCAGGGCCTCAATGGTTCTTGGGTAGGGACATCAGTTGTCACATGGATAGCTCACAACATGGCAGCTGGTTCTCCTTAGAGCATCGATAAGAATGTGCCTAGCAAGCACAACACAGCTTTTTTGTCACTTGATCTCAGAAGTAACATCCCATCCCTTCTCACATATTTTAATTTTTAGTAGCAAGTCACTAACTCTAGCCCACACAATGGGACAGATTACACAGGGAGTGAATACACAAGAAAAATGAGGATCATTGGGGACTATCTTAGAGGGTGCCTACCACAACATCATCAGACCCTCTCTCCGTATTGGCTACTGGGAATGCTTCATATATCATGAGAATTAGCTCCATATAATTTGTACATGTTTACTCTAGCCTACTCAGATAAGCTTTAATGATTTATTTTATCCTACACAGTGTTTTTAAAATTTTCAATATTATAATTTAATATACAGATCAGTATATAAATAAATTAAGCAAAGACCAGAGCAGCCTTGATTGTTATTGTCTAGGGAGGTTAGAACATTGAGATTCCTGGAGGCTTCAGAATACTTGAAAAGCTTTAGTAAAATTCCAGACTCCACTCCTGAGGAGACAATAGTCAAAGCAGTTTCTCTGGTTTACACAACCTTTCTTAATTTCCTATAACCTGATCTAAACTATGTATTTAACAGTAAGTTACTTGAATAAATGTTAAGATTAAAGGAGATACAACTTAGAGTACATCACCTTTATAATTAGTTTTGTTAACATTAGTTTCCTACCCTCCAGATCATTGTTCCAGAGGAAACACCTGTTATTCTGAATAAGCCTGTCTGTCTGCCACCTTAAAAGCCAGTCAATTCACATGATCCACATACCAAGGTCTCTTGGCCCTAGGCAGAGGGTTTCAATTCCATCATCATTATCCTCATCATCATCACCAAGAGGAGTTGTTGAGTGAACAGGCATGGGGATTATACAATGACCAGTCCCTAACCCTTGGTGGGGCATCACATACAGAAGAGGTTGCTGGGTGCTATGCTTTGAATGTCCCCTCCAATTGAAATGTAACAGCCGTTGTAACAGTATTAACAGGAGGTGCCCTTAAGCAGTGATTAGCTCATGAGGGCTCCACCCTTATGAGTGGATTAATGCTGTTATTGTGGGATTGGGTGAGTTATCATGATTGTGGGCTCCTGATGAAAATAATGAGTTCAGCCCTACTTCCTCTTTCTGTCTCATGCGCTTACTTGCTCTTCTACCAAGTTATGGTGCAGCATGAAGGTTCTTGCCAGATGCTGAAGCCATGCTTTTCAACCCAGAAATGTGAGAAATAAATTTTATTTCTTTATACATTACCCAGTCTGTTAGAGAAAAAATGGACTAACACAGAAAATTGGTTCAGAGACATGGACTGTAGCTATAATAAATACCTGAAAATGTGGAAGCGGCTTTGGAACTGAGTAATGATGGGTAGAGGCTGGAAGAATTTGAGTCAACAGGCTAGAAAAAGCCTAGACTGCCATAAATGGAGCTATAATGGCAATTCCAGTGAGGTATCAGAAGAGGAGAGCTGTAGGAAAAGTCTGAATCTTCTTAGATACTAAAGCCTTAAAGTAGTTCAAGGGGTTATGACCAGAATGTTGGTAGAAATATGGAGAGTAAAGGCCATTCTGATAAAATCCCAGACAGGAAATGAGGAACAGGCTGGGAATGGTGGCTCACGCTTGTAATCCCAACATTTTGGGAGGCCGAGGCAGGTGGGTCACCTGAGATCAGGAGTTCGAAACCAGCCTGGCCAACGTGGTGAAATCCTGTCTCTACTAAAAATACAAAAAAAAAAAAAAAAAAAAAAATAGCCAGGCGTGGTAGCTGGTGCTTGTAATCCCAGCTACTTTGGAGGCTGAGGCAGGAGAATCGCTTGAACTCCAGAGGTGGAGGTTGCAGTCAGCTGAGATCATGCCATTGCTCTCCATCCTGGGCAACAAGAGTGAAACTCCATTAAAAAAAAAGATGAAAGAAATGAGGAACAATGTAGGAAACTTGTGTAAAGGCCATCCTTGTTATAAAGTAGCAAAGACCTTGGCTGAATTTTGTCCACATTCTAGGGCTTTATGAAATCCAGCACTTAAGAGTGATGAAGTAGGGTATCTGATGGGAGAACTCTCTAAGCAGCAAAGCATTCAGGCTGCTGCATAGCTACTTTTAACCACACACAGTGAGATGTGAGAAGAAATAAGTGACTTAAAGTATGAATTTATAATTAAAAGAGAAGCAGAACCAAAAAAAAGTTGGAAAAATTTACAGCCTGACCATGTGGAATACAAAGTGTGTTCAGGAGAGAATACTAGGGTGTGGCCAAGCAACTATTTGCTAAAGAGGTTGTTATAGCTGGAAGGGAGCCAGATGCTATTTATCAAGATAATGAGAAAAAGGCCCCTAGAGTATTTCAGAGATCATTGAGGCTGCCCCTCCCATCACAGACCCAAAGCTATAGGGGGACAAGCCCAGGATGCCCTCCATGGGCTTGCTGCAAAGAAAGACTTGGGTCTCTGCTTCCCACATTTCAGGACAGTGCTCCTCAGCCACCCCAGTTGCTGTGGCTCAAGTGGCCCCAGGTGTAGCTCAATCTACAGCTTCAGAAGATACAAGCTGTAAACCCTAGTTGTATCCATATGGTGCCTAAAGGCACACAGAGTTCAAGAGCTGTAAGGGCATGGCTTCCTCCTCCTAGCTTTGAAAAGATGTCACAGAGTCTGGAGATCCAGGCAGAGACTTGCACAGGGATGGAGCTACCACAAAGAGCCCCTACTAGGGCAAGGCCTAGTGAGCTGTGGGAGCATGGCCATCTCAGAGACCCCAGATATGTAGTCACCAGCATGCAACTCCAGCCTCAGAAAGCTGCAGGCATGAGACTCCAATTTGTGAGAGCTGCTTAGTAGACTGAGTTTAGCAAATCCACAGAGGGAGGAGTGCCTGAGGCCTTCAGGGCCCAGTTCCCATCCCAGTGAGCCCTGTATTTAGGACATGGAGTCAAAAGAGAATGCTTCTCTAGCTTTAAGACTTAATGGGCCTTCCACAGTGGCTCACGTTTGTAGTCTCAGCACTTTGGGAGGCCAAGGTGTGTGGACCACCTGAGCTCAGGAGTTCAAGACCA